TGATTCCATATTTATATGATTTATAATCTACAAATTTAGCTCCCACTACAATAAATCTCATATCGAAAATAACATTTACACAATACTCAATATTCTCAATATTTGTTTTCAACTGAAATTCATTCTCGAACATTTTTAATTACCATGCGTATCTAATTAACAATAGTGCATCTTAATTAATATACCATTGTTCTTTTGCTATGACCTAAGAGCACTGACCGCTCTTATCAACATTGTCGATTCACAATCATAATAAATCTACTTTATTTCCAACAACCTGTCAATAACGGAACCTGACTTTAGTGGAATTCTTGTCAATAGTGGAAAAAAAATTCCGCCATTGAGCTCGTCCATACAAAATGACCTGCTAATAATGGAAAATAGTCAGAAAACGCTCACCCTCAATAGTGGAAAAAATTTGGGGAAAATTCTTTTATTTGCTAGGGTTTTTCGAACACGAGAGATATTTTCTCGATTTGCTAGGGATATTTGAGCTGTTTTTTGGAAGTCAATTTTTTTTTCGATTCAAAATCACCCCCTGAAAAATTAATGATAAAAATATGTGAATTTCGATTTTTTTTTTTTCAAATTTACCCTCAATAATGGAAAACCATTTCTGAATTGGCGTGAAAACCTGTTATTAATGGAATCTGAGTTTAGTGGAATTCGTGTCAAAAGTGGAAAAAAATTGTCCCCGTGGGATTCCGCTATTGACAGGATTTACTGTACTCACATTTGGTGAAAGTCATACAAAAAAAAATTTATATATTTTTTAAGAAACTATATTTTTTCCTTTATTTCTTAATACACAGAGTAATTGGGCGCTTGGTTTCACTGTAGTAATAATTTAAACTTTTTTTTTGTGCAAGACATGTGACATATCAGGCGTTGTGGAGGGGCCCGAGTGTAGTCAAGCCTCATACTTCATTTTGATACCTTTGCTCATTTAAGAAAAAAAAATGACTTGATAGGTCACCTCTACGAGTCCATTTTGGAGTCAATATTTTGTTGATTCAAATGTGCTGAAAATTGGTATATAGGGTTTTTTGGACATCAGAAAGCCGAATCTGGCGTCAATTTTGCGATATAATAACGTTTTTATGCGATTTCCGTACAAAACTGGCAAAAATATGGTCGTTTACTTCTTTTTTTTCATTTTTTTTTTTGTTGATGTCGTTTTTATCATCGGATCAAAAAATTATGTTCTACAAAGTTGTTCAGAATGATGAGAGAAATTTTTTGGGTCAGCTGCCCTCCAACTTCCCCTCACCCCCTAGGGGGTCAGGGGTCATAACCCCTTAACCCATGATTTTTTTTACCTAAAACCCAAAAATTCGGCTTCAGCATGCCAAAAAACCTTTAGAAAGTGTTTTTCCCAGATGCCCTCCGAGCCAATTTTCACAAAAAGTAAGATCCCCCCATTTGGGGTCAAATACTATGAGACTATGGGTTCCCTAAAATCGACATCAACAAAAAAAAAATTGGAAAAAAATAAGTAAACGACCATTTTTGCCAGTTTTTGTATAGAAATCGTATCAAAACGTTACTAAATCGCAAAATTAACGTCAGTCTCGGCTTTCTGGTGCCTAAAAACCCCTATATACCAATTTTCAGCATATTTGAATCAACAAAATATTGACTCCAAAATGGACTCATAGAGGTGACCTATCAAGTCATTTTTTTTTCTTAAATGAGCAAAGTTTTCAAAACGAAGTATGAGGCTTGACTATACTCGGGCCCCTCTACAACGCCTGATATGTCACATGTCTTGCACAAAATTACGTTACTACAGTGTTTTCGATTGCCTCAAACATTCTTCAATGTATTCAGTCGTATTGTTAAAGATGATGCCAAAATCCCCATTTTCAAACCTCGTGATGCAGATTTTGACTCAATGAGACCGGGATATAAAGAGCAGGGCTTTCAGATTTGAAATCAAATGATTTGTAAAATCAACAAATCATGGAAAAAATCATGATTTGAAATACACAATTCAAATCAATTAAATCATTTGATTTTATTTGGATGGACGTGTATATTTTAAATCAAATCAAATGATTTGATTTATTTGAATAGTATACTTCAAATCAAATGATTTCAATTTTTATATTTATTTGATAAAAAAATCAAATCAATCAGAATATACTTTAAAACATTTTTTCCGTGTACAATTCATTTTGGTCACACTTTACAGTTTTTTAAAATTAATAATTTTTCGAACATATCGTCATTCATAGACTGCCGCTGTGGTCGTAAAATCCATAACAAATTTTGATAAAAAAAAATCTCTTTTTTTTTCGAGATGATGCTTAAAGAGCATATTTTTATTCTTTAACAAGCACAAGAAAACTAATGCTATTGATGCAGGATTTAAGAAAGCAATTGCTAGCTACGAATTGCTAATGAAACAAATGAAATAGATACAAAAAATGCGTGGAAAAGAGATGCCTATAGACAATATATTCGATGCTTCAATTTCAGTGATGACTCAATGTATCACAGTGATTGATGAATTGAACGTTGTCGTTACGTTCTGTAAGAAATACCAGTCCACAGGGGAAATGTCTATATAGCATTATGTAACATCTAATGTAATCATGTCAAATTATTGCTTCTAATAAATATAGCCAATTTATTTAAACTATCTTTTCAAGGCAGAATTACTGCATTAATCAATACACTTAAAATTGCCAAAATATATGAAACGGGAAAATCCGAGTAATGTGAACAACTGTAAACTTACTTTTACGTATACGTTATAGCTTTTAATACAGTCTATACATATGAAAACGATTGTGGATCTGTCTTCCGTTGAGTTACGCACTCTATCTTACTCTATTTTTGGTGTTAATTTCATCCAAGTGAACACATCATAGTGAAAGAAGAAAAACATGTGTAGTCAAAGCTGCATGCGTTCAACGTACATATGACTACACATGTATCACTTCTTCCACTACGATGCGTTCACTCAGATAGAGTGCGTAACTCATTTTGAAGGGTAGACTCTCTGCTAACACCGCAAGTGCGAGTAAGCGTACTCGAATATTTCTTTCTGTGTAGTCAATGATAGCAATTGTATCTAAAAAACGACCATTATCGAATTTGCAGAAAATGTCGTTGGCAATCGGTGTCCTTAAATTCTGAAATAAAATTTCTGAAAAGATAAGAAGGTCTGAATCATGTCATAGCTTCTGAATCATAACCATGAAATTTGAAATAAACAAAGTGACGAAACTAAAGTCGATTAAGTTTCAACATCCAAAGACATTTAACTAATTAACGATATAATTTTAGATTATTTTTATTTAATTTATTTACCAAACATAGAAATTTATATGTTTATTGTAATTGGCCTTCGGGCAGCATACTGCACGTATGCTTGGCATACAGATCCAAATTATGGAATAAAAATAAATAAAATTAATAATAATTGTAATAGTAATCGTTGATAGAAATTCTCTGCTGGTATTATTTAAACAATTTTTGGAAAGTCCAATTCCATGAATTGATGATGGTCATGCTTTTTTTCGTTTATGACTTCAAACTGCAAATCATATTGCTGATCAAAACCAATATAACTATCCGAAATAATATAAACAGTATACAAATATCGACCTGCGAACATAATAGAAAAATATATAAAATGAGCTGAGTGGCATCGTATTAATTGATCGGTGAAGAGGGATAAATTACCAATTTTATCTGGTGCGATGAATGTAACCGAGTGAATACTTTTCGAATTACGATAAGAACATCGTTTCAGTGCAATTAATTCAGCTTGACCTGGTTCGCCCAATATTAAGAACCAGCCTTCATCTTTGATTTTTGAGAATTTTGGACAATGCACTTTTGGAATAATTGAATTTGTTTTATGTCGCTCTTTGCCCGATCGATGTACATATCTATGAAAATTCGCTTGAATCGTGTACTCCTAAAAAATTCGTACAATTATATTACATTTTGATTGATCCCAAACGCACGAAAAGCAGTTCACAAACCTCGTTTTGATGAATTTGAATCCAGTCGTCTCTGGTCATTGGCACCTTTACATTTTGCACAACATCGGTTTCATTGTGTAGCTGACCAATTACACATAGATCAATGTCAAGTGTTGGCATATCACATAATACCTATTACAAAAATGAAAAAGTTCACACATTAAACATTTGAATCAAATTTAAAGAAAATTTTGTGTAAATGTGTGTAGCACCTGATAAATTCGTTCAATTTGTGTTTCTTCAAAATCTTCACGCAATGGGCCGGCCAATATTTCATAATTTTTGAAAATATTTTCCTTTAGTGTTGGTAATGTCAAAATTGATTCTCTGCAATGGAAAATAAAATTAGTCCAAGACCAGGTGGACATCAATTATATCAAGTAATACTCACTTGAGATGGATTCGCTTAAAACATGGAATATTTTCCTCTTCAACGTATGGTAACGATAGAACTGGTGATTCATCAAACCATCGTCCTTGGATGATGCATTGCATTAATTGTTGGATTCGAATTACTGAAATTAACCAACCATTCTCAGCACAAATATCAATCATTGCCTGAAATGTGATAGAAAATTCGGTTAGTTTGATTCAAACCATAAACCTGGCAAGCAGATCTCGTTTCTTTGTTAAAAATAAGTTTCATCTATTTTTATGAAATGGGATTCTATTTACCTGCAATATCCGAATGGATTGATCGAGAACCGACTTGGTGTCGGTGAGATAATCGGAGTTTGGAAGTGGAAGATGTGAAAAATGGGCTTGAATCAATAAGAATGTTTTTGTATGTGGCGAATCACATGTTAGCGGATCGACACTTAGACGACAATTCTTCGAAAGTTCTCTGTAATCAATATTAGGCAAAAAGAGATTTAGATCTTCCAAATCTTCAAAAAAAAAAAAGAGAACCAAATATTAAAACTAGCAACACTTACATATTGTATTTATCTTCATTGTGTCGACATGGTTGTGAATAAAATTCGTATGCATTGCTCATGGCCCATAGAACATTTTCGAATGTCATGTCATTGTGTAAACAGTCGGCAAAATGTCGCATACTTTGATGTGATAAATAATAATACGATGAAATACGTCCCATTGATGTTGAATATACATGCCTTGAATCTTCTGAATCAATTTCAATGCAACCCGCATCGGTGAGTGTTTGTAGCACCGTTTCAATCAAATTCGATAGAAATCGATTTACATCTTGCGATTCGATGCTGGCCAAATCATAATACGTTGGATTCCGCATTAAACGTCTAAAGCAATATGTCCACGTGAAATAATCGAGAATACTTTGTTTGGTTTGTACAGTACCCGCAACAATTTCAGCATTCACATGATCCGGTAAAACATTTAGCAAATGCGATTCAACGGGGAATGGATCGTATAGGAATTTTTTGTAAAAGTTCTTTTTCACATCGTGAACAAGAACAACAGCAATACCTTCATTGCCAAATTGTGGACGTCCAGCGCGGCCCATCATCTGAAGTACATCAGTAATTGGCATGTCGACATATCGCTTCAATTTCGGATCATAATATTCAGTTCCTTTGATGATGACCAAATGTGCGGGTAAATTAATGCCCCATGCCAACGTTGCTGTTGCAACTAAAATTTGAATTTTTCGATGTAAAAATAATTCTTCGACGGTTTTTCGATCGTGTTCATGTAAACCGGCATGATGAAGCCCAATGCCGAATGCAAGCGTTAATTTGAGATTTGAATCTTTGATATTTTCCAATATTTGATCCATTTCGTGTTCGGGCAAATGCATAAATTGCTTTGGATTATCTTCGCCCGCCAAAAATGCAATCAAATCGAGTGCAGTTAATCGGGTTTGACGACGCGACGAGACAAATATTAAAGCCGGCGTACATGGTGAATATTGTCGAATTGCTTGATATGCTGGACGATTCATTGTTGCCATTCGTGGGCAATAATGCTTTCCCGGAAATCCACTGATATGCACCGACAACGGAACTGGACGAACGGACGGTTTAAAATTGTACAATCCCATGTCTTTGATTCCAAGCCAATTGGCTAAATCACGTGCATTCGCCAATGCCGTTGACAAACCAACAATACGCAATGTTCGTTTTGTATGAGATGCAATGAAATTTGTACGAGAAACAATGACCTGAAATCAATGTAATGATGTAATGATTAAAGTAATTGTATAATTAAGAAAAACAAAACGTAAAAATTAAATTCGAAAATGAAAATCAACCTCAAGAACTGGACCCCGATCTTCGCCAAGCAAATGGATTTCATCGATAACAATTAAAGCAACATCTTTGACATATTCACGTGTTTGCCACGATCGACTGATACCGTCCCATTTTTCCGGTGTCGTTACAATGACATGACTATCGCGTATTGCTCTAGCATCCGGTGTTACGTCACCAGTCAATTCAACCACTTTTTTGCCGAGCCTTTGCTCTAATCGATACTTCCAATCTTCGATACGTTCACGTACCAGAGCCTTCAGTGGTGCAATATAAACGACTTTTCCATTTGGATATGTATTGAATACTCTAAATATTGCCATTTCCGCAGCAATCGTTTTTCCCGATCCGGTGGGTGCGCCGAGCAAAACATTTGTATCGTTATGATAAAGACAGTGAAAGATTTGTGTTTGAATTGGATTGAAATGTGTGAATGGATACAATGATTCATAATTTTTGTTATTCAAAACGGAAACCGGTAATGGTTGAAGTGGTAACAATTCAGTATGAGGTGGATGCAGTTCGGGTAAGATTAAATGTTGAAAGCTCAATGCGAAATACGTTTCACTGCCCAGCCATCTGTCGCTTATTGCCCGAATGTAATATTGCGGTGGTAATGGTTCTCGCAATGGAATTGTCACAACCAATTCTTGTGGTTCATCGGAGAATGCTTGTTTTCTCGTCAATTGAAAATATTCCGAATGATAAATGTAATTGCTTTCAGGGTCTTCAATCCATATCCAAAATGGTTCCGCAAATTTACCATGAACACCATCGTTCCATCGAAATTTTGCACGAATAAAAATTCGGATACGTAACACAGTTCGTGTAATTGGATGCAATGTAGCGTCAATTTCAATAATTGGAAATTCGGCCGCACATTTTCCAATGAATGCACCATTTCGTTGATTTCGTAAATAGTCACCAATTTCTTTGGCATCCATATCACGCAATGCCATCACACTGATACCACGATCCTCAATTTTTTCAATCATATCAAATCCGATTCGCGTAAATTGTCGCAACGGCGTATGAAAATCCCACATTTGTCGTTCAAACATTTTGCTCAGCATCAAGAGTCGTCCGGCCAAAAGTGCATTATTTCTATGCAATTCAATGGTAAATAATGCACGAACAATACGCACCGCATTTTGTGTTATATACGATAAATCGGATACAAGTGAAAACGATCGAACTTGACCACGTGACAAATATGTTTGCATTAAAATGTTTACTTTTCCATGAATATTGGCGGCACCACCTTTTGCCACCACTTCACAATAATCATTCGTTAAATCTTCCAATTCGTCCAATTCTTCGTCACGAACTTTGAGCTGCTGGAATTCTTGTGCCAATGACATCATATGTAAAATTTCCGGTTCAGACATGACATCCATTAGATGTTCATTGAATATTTCAACGGTTGCATATTTAATGTAAAAATGTGATGCCGTTCGACCCAAATCGGTTGCATGCAAATCGCCCGTTCGCACATTGTATCGAATCATTTGTGCTTTGTCCAAACTTTGTGCGGCCGTTATAATTAATGCACGTCGTTTGTGCTCTAACGTTGGATCTTCCATTATGTCTTCATAGGTCATACCTAAGGGGAGAATCACAAAAGAAAAGAATAAAATTTAAAATAATCGATAAGTAATCGGAAAATAATCGTAAAACAATCAATAATAATTAATAAGTAATTTTTAAGTGATTTGTCCCTTAGTCATACCATATACTTGTGGATTCAGTCTCATTCGAACAAATAAATACGTGTAGCTAAGCCATTCGATGGCTTCGTCAATGTTACAAATCGTTCCCAGCGTAATTTCGGCATTCAAATTATCCGCCAAGCATTCGATAAAATTCGATTCGATGGGAAATTGATTGGTCAGCAATGACAGATAATGTGTTAATTTATTATGTGCCGTTATAATGATACCAAGACCAGATTTTTCATATTGCGGTCGTCCAGCTCTGCCGAAAATTTGCAACACATCCAATATACCAATATCAACAAATGCACCATGTTTTGCATCGTAAATTTCCGTTCCTTTGATAATAACTGCATGTGCCGGTAAATTAACACCCCATGCCAATGTTGCTGTACAAACAAGCACTTTGATCAGACCTTCACCGAAATATCGTTCAACCATTGAACGATCAGTGCGTAACATACCAGCATGATGCATTGCAATGCCGTATTGAAATAGTTCGTTTAGTTGTTTATTTCGACTGTTTGCCATTGAACGCTTTGCCAATCCCAAATCCTTCGATTCGTCGGGTGCAAATAGAGTTAAATGCTGTTTTTGTGTGGCCATCTCACGAAGAACATTCGCTGTTCGAACGGTTGCATTACGTGCATGCACAAATACCATCACTTGATAGCCCAATTTTAGTTGTTCAACACATTTTTCATAGCAAACTGTATCCATATCGGCCAATTGTTGCATCGGTTTGATATTTTTCACACCAACAAATGTTTGTTCGAGTGGAACGGGACGAAAACGACCATCAAAATAGAATAGTCCAACCATTGGATTGACACGAAGAAAACGTGCCACATCAATATAATTTGGCAGTGTGGCTGATAAACCAACGATACGAATCATATTTTGTGTGGATTCAACGAGCCGTAATGTACGTGCAACTAATGCTTCGACAACTGGACCTCTTTCACCATGCAACAAATGCACTTCATCGATAATCAACAGTTTAACGAGCGAAATCAATGCAACATCGCCGGCTCCTTTACGTGTTATCACATCCCATTTTTCGGGCGTCGTCACCAACATCTGAGTCTGTTGAATTTCCGATTTGGTTAGTGACATATCACCCGTTAATTCTCGAACGCTAATTCCTATTGAAAGCAAAAATATGGAATCAAATCAACGAATAACGAATAAATTTTATAAATATTTTTAAAAACTTAAGAATTTCGTAGGAAATGATAATTCTTTACTATGACCAATTGTATTTTGTATGCGCTAAACCCTCTTCGACAACAATCAACAACAAATAAATATTGCTCCTATGGTGCTGTATTTCCGCAATGAAGACGAAGCAATCAGAGATAGAAACCTTGCTTTCTTTACTGATTTTTACACTAATGGGAATTTGGACCTTTTTTTTGCTATTCACTTTTTTTGACCGAGAAAATTCTTTTTCGCCAAAAAAGTGAAGAGCAAAAAAAAGACGATTTTATCCTCATTTTCTAAAAATTGGTGACATCATCAGGGACCCCCTACGAAATTTTGCCATCAACCCCTCTAAAAAAAATTCCGTCATCATCTATGGTTGACGCATATATGTCGGCCAACTCACGGTAAAAACGAATTAATGCATTTCTTTTTTTCTGGATATACCTTTTTCTTGAAATTAATTTTAAGTTTGATAAGCAATTCTTGCAATCGAGGCCAAAACACAAAAAAAAATGTATTCATGATTCAATCTTACCCAATGATTTAAGTCTCTTTCCGAAATTTTCCACCATTTCAGCGGCCAATGCTTTCATCGGTGCCACATAGACAACTTTAAATTGATCTCGATGAATAACACCTTGATCGGTGTGCGATCGAATAGCATTGATAATTGTAAGCATAGCAACATTTGTTTTTCCCGCTCCCGTTGGTGCACAAATCAATAAATTATCATTTGAATGATAGGCTTTTTCAAAAACCACACTTTGTATTCGATTCAACTCTTTCACTCCCTTGAAAGCTAGCTGACCAATTTCATCTAAATCAGCGATCTGTATGCGTTGATCTCCAACTTTCAAGTCAACCGCAGCAGTATTTGCTGGTAAATTGATTTCTTCGTACATTTTATTATCGGTTCGTAATGCCGACTCGGGCAGTACTAGTTTTGAACCGGCCACAAATCCAACATGTGTACGTGCCTCCATTTGACTATCAAATACATATGGATACGTTACTTTCCTCGATGATTGTGTTAGCCAGCTCATTGCATCGGATGTTTTCTTCGCTTTCGGTAAAATCGGTTGATTCTTAATGGTGTCCAAAATGTGCTGCTGTTGCTGCAATTTAAGTCGTGATGCAACATAATCATAACTGCCATCATCGTTGTCATCAAGTTCATTTTCAATGGCCGTTTTTTGTGCCGTGAATATTGTTCGCAATTTCTTTTCATCTTTGCGCACTTTTTTCAACAGGCTCAACTCTTGTTCCGACTGAACAACCACCTGAGATGAAACAACCGGTTGTGATTTTGTGCGATTTGCTACACCACATTGTTCGGCCGCCGCAGCACGTTCGTACATCATATTGACTTTGTCATCGTTTTCAATATTTTTGATAATTTCCTTTCGATGCTCAAGAATATTCTCCAAAATTTCAAATTTATCAAAACCCAACAATTCTATCAGTTCATTTTGCAATTCATTGTTGGACTTTTTCGATTTGAGCACGGACAACAGTGATTCGACCACTTCGTTGCTTACGTGCATCAATAACCAGGCTCGATTGAATGTGGTCTTTGGCTGTGCCGCCGGTTTGATATCATCGTATCGCATTGAAAATGACGCCGACACAGCACTTCCATCTTTTTCATCATCAGCTTCGGTGACATCGAAATTTTGCAACATTTCAATCGATTCGTCGGCATCAGTTTCAACACCATTTGGTAATTGTATTTTTATATTATTGCCCCAACGTTTTGTTGCCTTTTTACCGTCTTCATCTTTGCCATTTTCTTCATGCTTCACCTCATCGCGTATCACTTGTAATAAATCATCGCTGAGCACGGCTTTTAAATCACATACCATCGAACAAATTTTATTTGCATGCTGTGATGTTATTTTACCAAATATCACTTTCAATTCGCTTAAATGTCGAACCATTACAATGCTGACATCAAGAAAGAAACGGAACAGAAATATTGCCGAATCATCGATAACAGCGGCATTCTCATCATCACCTGCAATGTGAAAAATTGAAAATTTTATTGAAGCTAATGTTTTATGTTCAACATCTTTGTCAATTACCGATAAGATTTCGCGTTAAATTCCATAGATTTTGTAATTGTTTGGTGACATTATTCAATTTATTTGTATCATCCGCAAATTTTTGCTGTACCATCATTTTAAACTTCTTCCATGAAATGGTTCTGTGAAATGAAAACGACAAGAATATGTTGAAATTTCACATAGAAATCGAAAATAGATGGTCATACTTGGCTCTCTCGTTTTCTTCATGCCACAAATTTACCACCACTTGATCGGCTTGATAGTTGGCGTTTCTTTGAATGTCCAATCTAAGACTCGCACGTAATGAACGGGAAAATCGTGGTAATTGATCCATATTCTACTTGTCTTTCTTTCTCTCTCTCTCTCTATTTATAAACAACAATTCGTTTTTCTCTCATGGATTTTCTTCGTTTCTAACACAAATGAAGTAAGTGAACTCTTTGAAATCTTAACAAATGATATTTGTTCTACATTTGTTAATTTATCACAGAAAAAATCTTTTCAACAATATTGCTGTTCGTTTTGCAATCTTTTTTCGATTTTTTGCTTTTGATTTCGTGGAGTAAATGTGGAAAATATAAATCAACATTCATACCGAATGTTGTGTGTGTGTTGACAATTCACAATAGACACTAGCGCACCGCTGTCAAAATGATAACTTACCGCTTCACACAGAGATGAAAACGTCAAATTATCCAATTTCACAATACAAGCAAATACGTGAAATATGATGAGCGAAAAGAAGCCAAACATAAAGGGTGAATCACAACACTTGTTGAATGTTGTGATGAAATTCACAAACATCAATGCGCAATTCTCGAGACAATTTCTCTGCTTGTTTATAATTTCTATCTTTATTGAACTGAATACTCGAATGAATACATAAAGTGGCTTATAAAATCTAAGTAAACACTTGAAATCTCTTGTGTAATTGTTTCACGAAAACTTAGAACTTGTTATTATAGAAACGAACTAAAAAATAATAATAATCATATGAAAGAATTATAAAATAACATTTTTTATTTCCTATATCAAATAAGATTTGTCATGGTTAGATATACATATATATAGATAGATTTTGTAATATTAAAAACTATTTTGTATTTTTTTTGTGTAATTTTTTCCATTTGTTAGTTTGATCATTTCCATTTTGATTTGATCGATTTAACGGCAGCTTAGATATAAAACCAATTTAAAAAAAAAAAGAAATCTCTTGACATCGTAAATCATTTTTTATCAAAGAAAAAGAGAAAGAATATGATTAATAGTATGAAAATAGAAAGACATAAACCACAACCACGACAAAAATAGATAATACGATCAACAATGGCAAACGGAATCTATTCTCTAAAGCTGATAGCTTGGATGGTTTTTCTTGTTGTTTGAGTGTTGATGTGATTGGTTTGTCGGCTCGATAACGGTCACCAACACGGCCACCACTACCATAAATCGATGAACGATATTCATTTAAGTAGGCCGACGTTGTTGACTTTGGCGATCTGTAATCGTATGTATTTTCAGTGCCCGGCAATTGTTCGGCTTTGAGTTGGGCCAAACGACGGGTGAAATCGCTCAAAAACGGTGCCTCAATTTTGTTCATAAAATCATCGTGCGATTCATTCAAACCTTTTGTATTTGCCTCTGCTGTTACCATTGGCGTTGCGTATGTTGTGAATCGGCGTCGATATGTGCTTCCAGTATCTTCGATTGGCTTTTCGGTGGCTTTGATGCTAGAGTAATTTGTCGAAATCGATGGGCCCAACTGCATTGTTTTACGCCGACTGTCGGCCGGTGGATTTATTTTTGTGGTTGGTGTGCTTGGCTTTCGGATTTTCTCAAGCATCTCTGAACTGTATTCAGCATCACTGTTATCATTGATCAAAATAACATCATCATTTAGTTCAACCAATGGTTCAATTGTGTGCTTGTACGATGTTGTAACCACTGAGCTTTTGGTTAATGATGGCGAACGCGATGTACGCGATGTCTTACGTCTGGCTTGTTTCTCGAACTCAGCAGCGGCCGCAATCAAATCATCGTCAGACGCATCGTCAAAGTATAACTCTGCCTTACGACTCGGTGACTTTGATGGAACTAACCAAAATTAAATTAAAAAAAAAAAAAAACGAAACAAAAATTAACATTCATAAATCGAATCGATTGTGTTATGGCGAAGATTGAATTTGAATTTAAACATTCAATGAAATTAACTTACGTGGTGCAGCTGCTTTAACCGGAGTTTTATCGTTGACAACGCCATTTGCTTTTGATTTAGAAACTGGAGCCGTATCGGCAACCACTTCAGCCGTTTGTTTGACGCTTGATTTTAATGCTGTTGTACCCGCTGCAATTGTTGCCCGACGATTGCTAACCGTTTTCGGTTTATTGATTTTCTTCAGTTCAGCATCCGATTCCGATTCTTCGGCCGATACATTTTTAACAACGGCAAGCGTCTCACGTCGAGCCTTGACTGACTTTGGTGCCGGTCCATTTAAGGCATTTCGTAATTTCTTGATCAATGCATTTCGTGTTGTATCGGTTACTGGGAAATTTCCAAGATTATGTGCTTTCAATTGATCACGCAATTCAGTGTTGCTCAACTGTTCAAAATTATCCATTTTACAAATGCGTCGCTCTCTTAACTGATCTGTCATCAAAAAAAAAAACCATACAAAGTGTCTCCGTTTATCTTTTTGCACCATGTGTTTATACGATTCGACAACGAATAAAAACGCAAATAAATAATACGCACTTACCTTAAAATTCAAGAAAAAATTTAAATCCTTTAAAAACAATCACCAGTACAGAAAACTGTTAAAAACCGTTTTGTTTTATCAGTAGAATCTATTGTAAAAAACCACACACAGCTAAAAAAATTTGAATTTGATTTTTCCTGCTAGTTTCAACGACAAAATGACAACGAATGACAAACGACTTCTCTGTACCGCCGCTTTTCAGTGGAAGAAAAAAAAAATGTAGCAGAATGTAACGCTAGAGCGAATTCCGTTTGCGCGCTAATCAACGCATAGCAACGTCACCCGTTTCATGGAATTCCATTGATTTATTCGCCATACCAACAGATGGCACTATATAAAATCTATACTATATCTATTGTAGGCATTCTTTTTTTTTTTTTTGGAAATATAAGCATTGAACGGTTTGTTTGCCAATTGGGGTATTTATTTCAAAGGAAATTACGCCTAATTTACACATTAAATTTATTTCTTAATAATAATCAAGTCCAAATTATGCTAATTGGATAAAAAGAATTATCGATTTAGTTTTATTACGATTTGAATTTGTTTTATTTGTAAACAAAAGAGAGAAAGGAAAATTATTATAAAAAAATGCACTTAAAATGTGTGTGTTTTTTCCCTTGTATACAATTTTCAAATGCTCGGAGTGATATTTTTCAGTTTCGTATATAAAGAAAAAAAAATTCAGAAAATTTTTTTTGTTCGGAATCGAGGATGCATAGCATTATCAACAAACATTCCAAAATAACTAAAAAAATGTTACTTTTCCGCTTATTGCTGATAATAATTTCGATTATTTTCTGTTGCCACCATTCACTTTCATTCATTTGTTTTCTGTCCGTCATATTCGATAATTTGATATTTTCAAAATGTTTCATGCTTCCACTTTTTTTTATTAATTCGATATCACAATCGCATTAAACATCATAGATTCACTATTAGATTTCATTTTCAAAGAATTTCCTTTTTTTCTAATTTTTTTTTTCATGTTAAGAATAATTTCACTAAAATTATTCCCTTAATTCAAAATTATCCTCTAGGATCATTGCGTTGGAAATTGATTTTTGTAGTTGTTGATAAAACTTAAATCAAAATGAAAATGATAAGCTTGGGAGAGAAAAGTTGGATGAATAAATCTATTGATAAATGTTGGAAATGATATTTTTTTCTCTTCTGATTTTTGTTTTTTTTTTTTTTTTTTTTTTGTGTTTGGTTGTGTTTATTTTTCTTATACATTGAGATGTATCGTTAAAATCGCAGCCAAACGCATGCAAAAATTCTATTAAATGCATGCACAATTAATCAATTTCGTCTGGAACTAATCTCATGAGTTCATCGTCGGTGAGCATTGCCAATTTGCTGGGCTGTGATGCGGCCGCTGCATCAACATTCGGTTGAGTTAGTTGTAATGATGGTGTGGGCGCATAACAACTAATTGTTGATGTACCCGGTGCCATCGGTACATATTCATCGCTGGTATCCATCAAACTCGTCGTATATTGATTCAATGGAATTTGATTTGCTGTTGTTGTCGATCCAAATGAAGCAACATTCTTTAAAATATCAGCTAAATTGGCCGGAATTGAAATGTTTGACACGACATCCGAAAGATTTTGATTAATTGGCGGTGAAACAGAACTTGTTGGTGAATACGGTTCATCGATGTCAACCGTTTGCTGTAAATGCATCATTGCAATTTCTTTTTTCTCCGCCTCAATTTGTCGATTCAGTTCTTCCAATTGCTGTTTGTCAAAGCTTGTTGTGCCGATCGGCTTTGAATAATCGGGAATTGGATTTGCGATTCCGCTTGTGCTTGACATATACGAATTTGGTATTGTGTTAAGCGATAAATCGTCGTCATCACTTCCGCCCGGCGAGTATGGTTCATCATCGTCCAAATCTGAATTCATCGAGAAAAAAAAAGATCAATAAGTTTCACGAAAATGACGAAATGAAAATTGTCAAGAGACGTTGTTTTGGTACTTACTTGAAGAAAATGTTGATTTTATCACCTGCTTACTGATTGTTTGCACAGGAATATTCATATTTGGACTAGATGGCGGAGTATAGTGGGCTTCTTTAGCTGGAATTGTCATCTGCAAATGTACAAATAAAAACAATCACATTCACCTTTTATCGTAAAAACAAAACAAAAATTTATTTATTTTTTCGAAAAAATCTTATTACCGCTGATTTGTGGCCAATGAATGGTATTGGTTGACGATGCTTTGGTGGAATTGGTAGATGGCTGGTTTGTGTCGAGGTACGATTTCTAACGACGATGCCAAGCAGTAAGTCAGGGCGATCGGCGCCTAAATCGAAACCGGTCGTTGTTTTCAAAATGGATGGCAATGATTTGTGTGAAGTCAATGGCATTATATAAAAATCTTTGACCAATTTCGATGGAATCTTAATGACGCCAAGCCTTTTACGAGCATCTAGATACGTTATAAATTGTGAGTAGGCCGTTTCATTGTCTTCGGACTTTGAACGCGGTGAAAATTTTAGCAATACAATATCTTTACTAATTCGAATTTTTTCAAGATATTCCCAAACCGTTTCCGGATTAATGCGACCAACAACATCAAATTCTTTGGGAAATTCAATCATTGCGGTGCTACCAGACAATGGACTCAATGATACTTGGAATGTTGCAACATCGACCATACTAATACTTCCCGACCATACGATCGGTAAAATCGGTTTTTCAATTGGTGGCGGTGTTGTTGATTGCCTTTCAGATGTTACTTCCGGTGGTGATGGAATCGTTACGGTACTTGTTGGCTCTTGATCACTTTCATTCGCTGCAACCGATGATTGTCGTACAAATTGTGGACTTTCTTCAGTTGCTGAACTAACATTTGTCGTGGTTGTTGTTGTTTCGCCAGTTTTTTTAAATTCTTCGGGATGTAAAATGCTATTAATGGTCGACTGTGCCTTGAGAATTTTGTCAGCAATGCTATTTTCATCGGTTTGTTGTTTTTGCGGTGTAGTTGCATTTGTTTTGTTTGTTGAATCTCTTTTTCGATCTTTATCCGTATGATGTTTGACACGACCGCTGCTACTCGAACTACTACTACTGCCCGATTTATGATCTTTTTTATCTTTGCGACTATCAGTTGAGCCACCAGCACCACCACCGCCGCCGCCGCCCCCACTACTACTGCGTTCTTTGCGATCTTTGTCGTGGCTTTTATCTTTGTGACTATGACTATGACTGCTATGGCTACTGTGTCTTTCGCGACTACGTTTTCGCTTGTGCTTCGATGACGAACCACTCGATCGACTGTCGTGACGATCTTTTTTGTCATGACCACGTTCGCCATCTTTTTTATGTGAACTTTTCGATGCTGATTTACCAACGTCAGAGCTCAAATACTTATCAACGCGGCTATCTTTCGTCACAATCGCTGTATCACTACTACTAACCGCTGAATTGTTCAATACCGATGCCAAATCCTCAACTGGAATTGATCGTTCACCACTTTCTTGAATTACCTCTTCACCTTTGTGCGTTTTCAAAACATAACTATTACCACATGCAAGCATATCTAATTCAGATTTGGTAATCATCTCCAATTGATGTTTGGTTTCATTTTCACGCCATTTGGCCAGCTCCTGGCTGGCTAATTCTTCGGTTGACAATCGTACCAATTGCTTTGGTTCAATCGCTTTGCTCGATATTTTTTCGAATAGTGTCAAATTTTTGCGATCCTTTATATTGTACAACAATGAACGGTATTTTGATTTGTATTTCATATTCGTATCACCACCAAACATTTCAAACATTTCTAATTCGGCGGAAGTTACAAATTCCGTAATTTCACCTTCAGTTAATCGGGGCGCATTTGCATCGGCTATTTCCTTTGTACGAATCAACAATTGTTCAATCAATGATTTTCTTGCACCTTGACGCAATCGATCCTGTTCATTTGATTTACTAGCGGATTTACTGTGAGTTGGTGGTTTTGCATCCGGCTTTAAAATAAAATGAAAAATTAATAAAAATTCTATACGTTTCATCCGATTTCCATCTTACCGTTCGCTTACTACTCTTTTGCGTTGATACTGGCGTTGAACTAAGTTTGGGCGCTTTTGCAATGGGTTCCCCTGATCGGCTGGCCGGTGACTTGGAATTCACTGGCGATGATGTTATGGCTGATATTGGCCGTTTCAACGAAGTTGTTGTCACTTGTTTTTGTGTCGTTGGATTAACATACACCATTTTATTCGATTCAAATTGCAATGTTGTTTGAATTTTTGCGGCCTGTGTCACAGCAAACAATTCTTTTTCGCTTGCCATTGTTTTAGCAAGTGATTTCAATTGTTGTTGTTTTTTTTTAAATGCATCCGATTGTCTTTCTTTAAATTCTTCGGCTTTTTTTGACCCGGGTTTTAAGACTTCATGATTTGGATGGTCGGCCAACCATTTTTGTAATTTATCTTGTGTTGGTGCATTTTTACCTGTCAAAAATGTGTTTGTTGCTTTATCGTAAATGACCACATGATTCATTTTATCCCTGAACATATGACTGAGAATTTTTGGCTGAGGGAATTTTTTCTCTGACGGCGATTTTATCGTTGGTGTTGTTGAATCCGATTCACTTGCACTCGATGCAGTGTTACTAACAGCTTTTGAATGCTTTCGAATACAATCATCGCTACAGTAAATTGAATTCGAACGCGACGGCTTAAAACAACAAACAACACAATTGGGTACGGGCGATTCTTTTGTTTTTGGTGAATTTTCCACAACCACTTTACGCGGAAATATATTCTGGAAATTTAAAGAAAAATATTTACAAAAATCAGATTCCGAATACATTTGCACTTTGGTACATACTTGAATCGATGGTTGTCGTTTTTTAATGCAATTCGGACAAATCCATTCGGATTGCCGTTCTTCCATTTCTCTTCCCATTTGTCTTGTGATACCAACGCATTTTCCATGGAACCATTCCTCGCATTTATCACAACAAATCATAAAGCGATTATTATGCGGAGTACGACATATACACCAAATCCTGAAATATACATAAAAAAATAAAACAAATCGTGAGCATTGTGTTTATTGGTTAGGTTTCTTTTGTGAGTGCTGGAGTTTCATGTGGTTGAATTTTTTTGTTTTTTTTTTTTTTTTTTTTGTCATTGAATGATCCAAACGTTGATGAAACATATATATATTGATTGAATGGTATATGAAATGGTGATGTGTATTTGATAAGAATTGTTGTCATCATCAACTCATCTTTCATTTTGAATATTGGTTAACAATGGCGCTATAATTCGCACTCAATTGGCACATGCATAACGCAAATAAATAATCACATAGGAAGCAAAATCTGGCTTGTTTCATTGCATTTTTTTTATATCTTTCATATTGAGTATTATTTGTTTCATCGTGATTTGATTCGTGTGGTTGTTGTAAAACGCAGATCAAACTACAACTGTTCTCTTCTTATTTTTGTGAGAAAATACTGAACTGAAAACAAAATATTTACATTGTGCCTTTTCGGCTAGAGAAGAGAAAGAAATAAAAGTGAGAAAAAGTGTAAAATAAAAGAAAAAAATCAAATTATTATCAATATGAGATGCGATTTTTACCGATTGGGATCGTCTTCCGAATTATAACTGCCATCCGATCCATCTTCTTCGTCATCATCGTCATCATCATTGGGTACAGCGACCGGCGGTGGATTCGATATGCTCAAGCTACGCCTAGGTTTCGAATCGAGCGAAGCTCGTTTTACGGCCACCGATGCTCTTCGTTCACGTGCCACAATTGGTTTTGCTTTCGATGCACTACCAAATGGTATGCCTTTTATTGATTCGTTTGTTGGTGTGTTTGACACACCCTTTGGTTGATTTTGCATCGGCGAATCACTTTGTACAATGACCGTGAACACTTTTGGCTTTTGTTGTGTTTCGGAACCGGGCGTTGTTTCGGCTCGTCGTTTTGCACCGCGTGTTGTGGGCGCTTCGATTGGTGGTAACGTGATAAATGAACCATCAGCCCGTTTAACTTTAATTTCTTTTTTATTTGTTGTTGGTGTTGATAAATTCGATGGTGTTGTTGGCGTTTTCATAATATTTACAGCCGGTTTTTGTTCGTCCGACACTTTTGTTGGTGTTGCGTCAGTCGTTTGCATTGCATTTGGCTTTGACATTGTCGAAACATTTTGTATTTGTGTTTGCGATATTACCGCACAAGATGATATCGATGTGGTACTACTACTACTACCTTGTATTTCTTGATCGATTACCTCTTGCAAGTTTTTGTCACCAACAAGTTTTGCCACATCCTGCAACAGGTCATCGGACAAAAAGTCCTCATTTGCAATTGAATCGAGCAATTCGTCTGGCAACATTTGTGAGTCGTGTGCCGATTGTGTTGTGGTAAATGTCATTGACATTGCATTTGATGAACTACTATTCGATTGCATTAAATCGATGGTTCCAATTGGTGCGGATGCTTCTGAAGTTTCCAACATTTTGACAATTTTTGGAATGTCTGCGGGAATACTTGATTGTGAAGCGCTCGACAACGGAGCTGCATCCGGTTCGGTTTTATTTAATTTTTCCTGTAACAGCGAATCGATCAAATCCAATTGTTTATCTTGTTCCGATTCCAAATTCATTGCCGGTTTTGATATTTTGCGAAATGTAATGGCCGGTGATTTAATCAATTTTGTGGTTATAAATCGTGGTGTTGTCATATTTTCTACGGTATTGGCAATCGATTGTACCACAACTGGTTTTAATGTGTTTGGAGTAAATTCAACCTTTGTGTTTGGCGTTGAAGTTGCAAATGACTTATTAAGAACGACCGGAGTTTTATTGGTGGCAACAACATTTTCCGCTCTTGATTTCGGTTTGATAACAACATCCGGCGTGAACAGAGACGACATACCACTTAGCGCATTTTCCGTTTGATCTTTCCTTACCTTATGTCTCATTATTATAACTTTTTGCGATTTATTTCCGCCCGATGATGTTGGCGTAATCTGTGTATTGGTTGTGCTATTAATCTTTTGAATTGCAATCGATTTCGATGTTAAATTGTCATGTGAAGTGGTTGGTTGTGATGTGGGTATATCTTTTACGTATGTAACTTTCGTTAAACGAGACGATGTTGAGGTGGTGGCTGGTGATTTTGATGTTGTGCTTGAAACTGTTGGCGAAGCGGATGGTGTTATAGCAGCAGTCGCAACCGATTTTGCACTAGTATTGAGAGATTTCTTTGGTAATTTTGTTGCCTTCTTTCCTCTTGGCGTTTGATTATCGTCCGAACCAGTAAAATCAATCGTACTTTGACGTCGTTTTTTGTTTGCCAATTTTTTAGCTTGTATTTTACGTTTTTTGATCTTTTTCGCTCGCCTCGAATGACAATCATTTACACTGAAATCCAAATCGCTATCACGATCATTTTCAGTTTCAGCATCTTCTTCGTCTGATTCACTTTCAGCTTCCTCTTCATCTGATTCATTTTGATCGCCCGTATTTTCGTTTGAACTGTTTGCATCGTCAAATCGTGACGAATTCGATGCGTCCAAACCATTCGATGGTGTGGATTTTGACGTTTGTCCACCACCTCGGCCCACTTTTTTTGTCGTCGTCGAACTTGGCAGCGGTGTACTAGTCATTTTTAACCTTGATTTTGATACATTTTTTGCACCATCAGATAAATCATTTGATTTGCCTTCAGTCAACGAATCGGCATAAGTGTATGGTGTATAACAATGATCATTTTGTATAATATATCGCAAATGCTCATAGTCGGCTTTCAATTGTTTTGGATTTGTGATACCAGCAATATCTAAAATGGAAAAATAAAAACAAAAATTCAATTCAATATGTGGACGGATTCGATAAGAAAGAGCAAAAAAAAAGAAACAACGCATTCAACATTGTACACAGTGACACCAAATCGTTCTTACTCATAATTTCAGTAGCAAATTGAATTGCTTGCTCTGGATTATAAAATTCTTCAACTGTCAAACCGATGCCGGGCACTTTGTTTTTCTTTTTCTTCTTTTTCGATTTGGAACCTTTATCTGTGCTACCACCATCCTGATCGCTATCTTGATTGCTTTCGCCGCTATTTTTGCTACCCATATCCTCTTCGTCATCATCGTTGTCATCGTCGTCGTTGTCGGCGCCACTTTTATTATTCTCATCATCATCACTTTGTTTGATCGAACTTTCACCGTCATTGGTTTCCATGCTTGGCGTCGGCGAACCAAGTCGTATGACACTGACCGTTGATTTCGTCTCTGTATTGGCATTCACTACAAATCCAAATGGAAAATGAACGAAAAAAAAAAATTATTCCAAATATTGCCGAAAAAAGTGATAAGGGTTTGGGAGATTGTACGAAAGTCTTTTTTTCTCACATATTTGACATTTTTCAGTCAAAAATTGGATTGAAAACACACTTTAATTACACTCACCGATAAGGTCTTGTAATGCGTTCGGATCAACTTGCACAGCACCATCTTTTTTGATAAAAACAATGAGATTGTTTTCAGCGACTTCGCCTCGTGTGCCATTACCACTAGTTTTGTCTTCATCGAGATCTCGAAACACAGAATGCGACATTATCTCCGAATTACAAAACACACACGATGAGAAAAAAAGCACTAAAATTAATGTTTGTTGCTTTTGTTTCTCGCGCGCGCGATTTTTCTTGTCTTCTATTTATTAGCTCACACCTTAACAAAACAAATTCGGTGAGTGTGTGTTGTCACTGTATGTATCTTTCTTCTTTTTTTCAAATTTTCAAATCAACACTGTTTCACTTTGGTCCGTATTTATTATTTAATATTTACCGCCACAACTGAACAGCGGAAAAGAAGAAGAAAAAAATGTGTGTGAGTGTCGATTTGTATTTGTCATTCAAACAAACCAGCTTCAATTTGCAAATTATTCTGTTCGAATTGAAGTCGATATTTTCGGAATATATTTTTTTTCGTTCGTCAGGCAATCCAACGAATTGACGACAACAACAACAACAACATTAATATCAAAATAGATTTATTGTAACCACATACAGTCTAATCGACATTTGCTGAATGGATTTGCCGCCATAGTGTATAACAAACTGGGCATATAAATTCGATTTGGCCCGTAAAATATGCGCTTCGATTGCCTTAAACAACACACGAAATCTATTCAATTACAAAATTCACACTGAATACCTTATGATGGTGTAAATATATGTATATATCGCTGTGTGTTACGGCACAGTACTTGGTAATCTAATGAAACGAAAAGATTATATGTATATATGCACGGTAATTCTATCGTAAGGTGGACAATATTGCACACTTAACCAACGACACGAAATTCACACCACAAAATATCACGCAAATCTAACCTATTATTATGAGCAAAATAGTTAATTTTTCTATGTGTATAAGTGTCAAATGCACAGTCTGTAAAAAATCACACTGTATTTTAGACTTTTCTTTTGCTGCTTTTTCGTTCTTTTCCGTTCTATTCTATTCTCTTTTCTGCCATAGACTTTTATTGACAATTTATTTCGATGTGTTTTTTTTGTTGAGTAAAATGAATATAATGCTTCTCTTTTTCTCTCTTGCCTTTTAAAATGCACAAACAAATTTTTTCTTTTGCTACTCCGAAACTGTTTTCAAATTAAAAATTAATATTTTTTTTCTTCAATTCGGTTAATTTGTCTAAATGTAATTTTTGATTTGAGTTTTTTTTTCTCGTTTGACGATCGAAATTCGTATATGCGTCATTGTGTGTGCGTAGTAATATCATATTCATCCATTTTCGTATTTTCGTTCGTTCCTGTTGTTCGTACTCAGTATGAATTGAATTGGTATATGTGGGTATGATTTGTTGAAACTTGTGTGAAGGAAACAGCAGCAAGTAAAAAAAAAACAGAATATAAAGTGAACAATGTAAGTATTTGAGCAAATGGATGAGAGCGTTCTCTGTTTAGTTTTGCGCTACTTTGTCTGCTACAATATGGATTCAATGCGTATATGTATAAATGAGAGAACACACACAAATGAACACACGAATTGAGCAACATTTTTTTCCATTTAATAAAACCTTACCAGTTTGACTGACATATGACTGTGTCCACTAAATTCGGCCATTTAATTGGCGTCATACAATGCCAACGAAATTCAATAGATGGCAGCACCATGGAACTACGAAGAAATTTGCGTTTTTTTCTGAAAACAAAAAAAAAACAAATTCGATTCTTTTTACCTTATTCAAATGAGAAAATATTTTTGTTTGAATAAAATTCATTTAATCCAAATTGATAAATGTAAGTCCCGAATAGTTTCATATGTACACGAAGAAAACCATTGGATATAATTCACCAAAAAAATCAATCAACACTGAGCAAATCGCATAAAAACGTATGCGCAGTGTTTGCGTTGCTGTGGTGTTCGTTCACGTTGCGCATGCTTCTGCACAATTCAACAACAGTAACATCAGCAGTAACAACAACAAAAATACATAGTTATTGACGTTTTGTACGACAATTTGAGTTTAAGACGTAATACTTGTCTGTCATTGCCTGTGAATTGGATCGAGTAAGAGAGAAAGTGTGAAAAGAACAGTACAAACATAGATTGCACGAAAACTGAATACGAATCATTTTCAATGAATTTTAACTAGTGATTTATTGTGTGACATATACACGAAGACAGAAGAAGTATATAATATCAAATCAGTCAATTTTTGTTTTGGACTGAATCGTACTCTCTTCATTTTTTTCAATTGTGTTTTGTACATCAAGGCACATTTTCTCAAGTGGTATTCATTTAACGAAAGAAATATTTTCAGTATAAACGAACGAAAACATGGCCAGCCAAACTCAAGGCATTCAACAATTATTAACAGCTGAAAAACGAGCTGCAGAAAAAGTTGCGGAAGCTAGAAAACGTAATTATATTTTTTAATTTGGTTTTTTTCCCATCATCGAATTAAAAAGCTCTCTAGCTAATTGTATATAGCCACCGATTGAGCTTTGGTCATGTAGATATGTAGTTGCATTTGAAAAAAAAGTGCCTGGATACTTTGTATACACAATTATGTGGGACACATTTACAATCATTGTCGATTAGATTTTATTCTTTTTGAATTCAATTTGAAAATGTATGCTTGCCTTCTATACATACAAATGCTAGAAATGATTGTGTTTATCGAAATGGTTATATGTAATTTGACTAAAATAGTTGATTTATTGATGCAGAATGTGAATAATGAAACAAAAAAAAAAGTTGAAAAAGTGTGTTTGCAACATTGATGTAAGGCCTTGAAATGTCCAAATATAAATGGATTCAAAATCCAAAGTGCAACAATGACCCACAAAGTTTTTTTTAATAGTTTTTCTTTATTGCTTAATATATTATAATTAAAATAATGTTCTCGTGTTAATTAAGAGAGAATTCGCATGAGTATCGATTGTTTCAATTCAAATGTCGTTTCATCACTTGTTCATATGTCATTTCGTTGAATGTTGATGTGTTGTTTGGCACTTAATTAATATATGTTGGTTTATACGGGTTTAATAGGCAAACAACGTCGTTTGAAGCAAGCCAAAGAGGAGGCCCAAGAGGAAATCGAAAAATATCGATTGGAACGTGACCGCCAATTCAAAGAATTCGAAGCCAAAGTAAGCAAACGTCGAAATCAATCCACATATTTACGCACTGAAAACATTTTCAAATTAAATTTTCTTCTTATTCCACACGATATTTACTTGTTTTCACTCTTTTTGTTTATCACATAGCACATGGGCTCAAAAGAAAGTGTTGCGGCCAAAATCGATGCGGACACTCGTGTTAAAATCGATGAAATGAATCGTTCAATATCAACAAATCGGCCAGTATTGATTCAGGAGCTATTGGATTTGGTCTACGATATTAAGCCAGAATTGCATAAAAATCTTAAACTTCAGTTGAATAACTAAAAAAAATGAAATGAAGAACAGTCAAGGTCGATTCTGACTTGCAACAGTTGAACAACACCATATTCAGTTCTGTATTATTTGTTAAGATTTATTATGTTTTCTCTCTTTTTTTGTAAATTTAAAAACAATTTAAGCTTACATCGATAGAGTTTTCATTTATTTTGTTTAAAATTCCATATTTTGTGTAAATTTTTCTTCAAATTGTCATGCTGCAAAGTTCCATTGCAATGTGGGTTTTCATATTATTCTCTTTTTTCTTCAAATTCATGAACATTCACAAAATATTATTGTATGGCATTATTATTTTACTGCCTGATTGAGAAAAAAAAAACATGCAAATTATCACATTTAGTTATATTCCCAAAAGTAATTCCGAGTTGGACTTATTTAAGCACAATTTGAATGTGACAATACGATAACAAAAAGAATCCAAGCAACAGAAGTAAAAAAAGTTAAATAAATAAACAAACACAGTAAGGAAACTTAATTCAAGGACATTTTATTGTTACGGTGATTATTCTTGATTGAAATCACTCAAACTTGGCCACAATTGAAATCATGTATATTATTGTCCATAAATTCTGTTGAATAAACCATACAATCTATATGATTATGTTATGAGAGCTATATTATTTGTCGTCACTTCTATCCATTTACATTGACGGTGATGAAAACACTCTGAAGATTTAATCTCTGAAGAAAACACTTTTGAAAAATCACCCAAGACCAAACAGTCCAATTTGTCTTAAATTCAACCAAGAGTACGCTATTGGATGTGGTGCGTCTATGAGATCGATCAGCGGTTTTTAGAAAGAAATAGCTTGTTATGCAAATGATACTAACATAAGTGAGTATGAATGATCTTTTTGACAAAACTAGAACATTTTTTTTTCATACTCAATTCATGTGGATTTTTGTATACAAAAGTGAGAGTATATGGGTAAATATATAACGTAGTCAATAGCTCGCCAACTCTACATATCAAAAAAATATTAATCCACCTTCGAAACACTTTAGTCTTGCTGCATTATTTATATGATAATGGTAAGTAGATCTTTTAAGTAATAAATAATTTACACTTTTCGTTCATATGTTTAGTTGTTAAATAACAGACCTTTAGTACCATTGAAATAAGCCAAAATTGAGTATGTTTTGAAAAATGTCTTACCAAAGCCACAATTTTTCTTGAGTTCTCTTAAATTTGTGAAACCATATTCACCTCGTGAATTTTTCGGAAAATGTTGAAATGATTACCAAAGATAAACAAAGAAATGAAAAATTGTGTCCTCTTTTGTTGATAATGGTTGATAATAAATATTTGTTGTAAAAAAAAAAAATACAAAATAAGCAATAATTTCATCGTTCATTAGCCGCTTCTCAGTTCAATGAACGTAAAAATGAAACAAACCATTTTTCGAATACAAATTTCGCTTTTACTGTAAATTTACTATCATTAATTCATATTGTTTTGTTTTTTTTTTTTTTTTTTTTTTTTTTGTTTCTCTCTTAAAGAATGTTTTATAAACTAAGTTACGTGTCCACTCAGGTTCAACAGTAAAAAATCAATTGACAGAAAAGAAAAAAAGGACAGTAATGAATAAAGGATTTGATTTTCATTTGTGAATGTTGGTTTCTATCGTTTGCTGTTTTCAAAACGTCCACAATGATCATCGTTCTTCCAAAATCACCGTTTCCTGAGGACAAAGCTTATGTTGTAATAGTGTTTCACTTTTATCCAATGTCGTTAGCTAAATGGGGCGAGATTTGAAAATTGAACAATAATTAAAATGTTACGTTTGAAAAGCGTGTCAAAAGTAAATGTCATCTAACTTACATCGCGCCGCGGCCAACTCGAGATGATTTTGTATTCATCAATGGGGAAACCTTTCGATGCGACGAATTTCAATAACGTGTCCAATTTGTCGGTGGCCAAAAAACGGCGTTCCATAAATTCACCGGTTGGTTTTCGCATACGAATTTTTGTGATGCCATCAGCGTTCTCGGCTGGTTCGGGTGGCATACTTTGTTCGGCCTCCAATCGATTCATTTCTCGTATCATTTCGATTTCTTGCCGTTCCGATTCCAATCGTTGTCGTTCCGTTGCAATTGCACGCTCCTTTTGTTTTTTCTCTTCCTCTTTCCGTCGATCAGCCTCCAAACTTTCGTGGAATGCGGCATCTTGTTCCATTTTAATTAATTCACGTGCCGCACGTTCGTCCTCTTCGCGAACTTCAACATCACGTTGTTCCGAGTACAATTTCATCGTATCCATTAATTTGTTTAGAAGATCATCTATGCTAACGTCACCGTATATCACAGACAAAACTTCGCAAACACTACGGTATTTGCAAATAACCAAAATCGCTGGCAAACGATTTGTTTGCATTGTTCGAAGCGGTAGTGATGCACTGCTATTGCCAGCGCACGCTGACAATGATGACAAAAACAGATTTTTATTACTTTCGTTGGTTAAATCCCAGCCATATAAAATGAAATTATGCTCTATCGTCTGTCGAATTGTATCGTTTTTCATGACACGATCACAAAATACATTGGCCAACACGCTTTTATCGTGATGCAAATAGATTGCGAGCAATTTTCGCTAAATTTCAAATGACACAGACAAATAAATTATTAATTAGCGATCTTTTGTTTTTTTTTTTTTTATATCGGAAGCTCAATCGATAACTTACATCTTTCGCTGGCTTATGACAAGCTTGACCAAGAGCCTCTTCAAGTGTACCTTCATAGAAATGAGGATACGGTTCACCATATCTACAAATAATAAAATGCATTTGATTCAATTTTGAATTTGGTGTCATTTCCCATTTCAATTACATACCGTTCTCTATAATTTTGTATGAACTGAGTGCATCCCCATCGTTCGTTGTCGGTGCCATCGGGTACTGAAATGTTTAAATATAAATATTTATTTTTTTTTAACTTGATATAATCGTAAGCATAGCGAAATGAAGAAAAAACAAACTGCTACTAACTCAAGTCGTTGCGTCGTCGATTTGTTGCGGGCGTAGCAAAGATTTCATCGTCCCCATTAAAATCGGATGCATCTTCAAATTCATCGACTGAACTATCCGAATCGATTTCAATCAGATCATTGCCGACATTCGATCTGGCCGATTCAGTTGTGGCCACTTGATTTGGTGGTATAATTTGATCTGTCGATGTTTCGATTGAGTTTAAAACTAAATTGTGTTCGAATGGGATGCCGGCCAATGCAAGCGTTGTATCATCCGATATTCCTGATGGCCACCCGTGCCATTGTTGATGTCGAACGGCAATGCTTGTTACCGAATATACGTCATTCTTCACATCGGCAATGGTTCGAGTGCCGGGAAAGTTTAATTGTAACGGTCTTGTATTGTTGGTATTTCCAAGCAAAATGTTTAATTTGAATGTTCGCGTAAGCCGTTCGATGCCCAAATCATCAACGGCAACCATGTCTGTGAGATCTTTGATATCATTTACAATCAATTCATTTTCATCGGACAAATTCATTGTGTGTAATGCAGTCGAATCATCATAATTGTCGGATGATTGAACCCAACCGCACCACGATTGACGGCACGTCGGAATGGAAGTGACCTCAAATATTTTGGCTTTCAAGACACCTAAATTATCGAACGACAATTAACATTATATGACAATTCAAAGCAAATTTCCATTTGAATAAATGAAACAAAATAAAACAAAACAAAAAATCACGAATAAATCAAACCTATTGTGGATCGATCGGAGACAACAACGTTGTGTGTCGTATATTTGTGGTGAATATTAAATTTAATGTCCTTTGGTGAATTAGCTGCCGACGAATGAGCTGCAGAGCATTCGCCGTTTGTTTGGTCGTTATGTCCATCGCCCATTCCTTCATCTTCGTTCATGTTTTGTAGATTACATTCATTCGAATTCGAACTTGTGGCTGACATTGGTTCTGCGGAAAAATTAAAATAACGTCTCGTATAAGAAACTGATCTATTGGAAATAATTCCAATTGGAATCGAAAAATAATTCGCAAGTGAAACGCTCACCTGAACCAAAAATATTTCTATTCAATAGAGCCGATGGCGATGCGGGCATTCGATTTACATTCGATGATGAACCAGCAATGTTTAAATTATTCAATGATTCCGTATTGTATGGAGATGGTTGTTCAACGTGGTCTTGTGGAAGAACTCTACTCACTGCCGCCTAAATAACACAAAGAAAAATGTTTCACAACACAATCGACACGATTTGGTTTAGTGAGTGACAAATGGGCACACCGTTTGTGTAGCGATACACATTCATATGATTATTGTGTTTTGTGTAACTGAATGACGTTGTGTCATTTATATCTACGCTTAACTGTATTTACACAAAATGAAAGACAACCAACGACGCACTTACCAATAAATCCCAGTTACTTTCTTCCAAATAGAAAATCGCTTCGGCCACATCGTCTATGCCAGTGATGCTCTAAAAATAACATCGATACGTTAAAATAAATGTGTGATCGAATTGGTTGTAATTTCGCAAATTTAAGGATATATTTATTTGATGGATTTTGTTGTCATTACATTGCACGATCAACATTTACCGTTTGTCTCGTTATGTTTTGGTCAATTCGAACGAATACGACTCACCTTATTTCATAAAATTACTACATACCAAAAGCAACCGTAGTAACAACGATTGAAAGTTACAAGAAAAATAAAAACAACAACAACAATAACAATCCTCATGAAGAGATTATGAGTAAAAAAATATTAATAAATTGAAACTAATATGTCATTGTTTTTAAGACATAACCTATTCGCAGAGTGAGCGAGAAAGGGTACTTTTTGCAAACGAATAAAAAAAATAGACTAATCAACACACGGAACTCACAGTGGAAAAATACGAATAATCGATTGCGGTGGTGCACAATCAAAATTATTTCTCATTTGTATGAATTTATGTGCAACACGTATTTAACATACCTGAAAATTGGCCAAAATTTCCTCTTGCGTCTCTTGTGTTTCTTGATTTTCAGACATTTTTCTTTCAGACACGAGATTCAAATTCGAATAAAAAAAACAACAACTCTTTGTACTAAACGTGAATCTGTCGCTCTATATCTAATGAACGAGAAATATTGCTGACTATTTCAATCAATCAGTTGTATTGTGTCGAAAATTTCTTTGCGCAAAATATTACCAAAGAACAAACAATGAGAATCGTTCTCTCAATTTAAATACAAAAGTTGATATTATTTTATTTCTCGCTGTCTCTATCTCGTTCTCTTTTGTTTTGAGATATTTTCTTGAGAAAAATAGTTTATAAATCGTTGGACCGTTCGTTCTTACTTGCACACACAACAAAAGCTTATGCTGTTTTTTTTTTTGATTACTCTTTTTGTAATTTATTTCACTGTACGACGTTCTTTCTGTGTCACTGTGAATCCCAATACATTTGAATGTGTGTCTAGAATGTGTTGTGAAAAGAAAGAGAAAACATTTGACATAAGTCGCAATGAATCCAAAAACTTCATGTTGTCGATTCATATCCCTATTGGTAAAATTTACCAGGTGCACAACCCTATTGTATCGCTTTATTTCGATTGATTCTCTCATTTCAAATAATATTTCATCATAAATTTGAGGAAATAAACTCAAAAGCGTTAAAATTTACTTATTTCAAACGATGGTAAAATATTTCAAAAGAAAAATGACATAAAACGTGAAAAATGAAAAAAATGTTGATCAGTATGAAGCATGATTGATTTCCGTTGGCTATTTTAAACTTGAATTGATTTAAATGTAAATGCTTGGTACGTTTGATTTGCGTTAAATTACTTCACCAAATTTCATCTGGCTATCGGATTAGTTGAACGCTTTTTTACCAGCGACTATCCAAAGAAAAGAAAAAAACTCAATCGACTTTGTAACTTCTCGCTTTTTATTACTCTGTCCTAAAATGTAATGCCACATATTTCTTCTATCTCTTTCAATCGAATTTCAAATGTAATATTAAATAATTTTATGCGTTGCCAAACTGATCACTGTAAATTCTGCCATATTAAGTGTTCCGATGGCATTTCAATTGTTCTGGTAATGATTTTAGCATCTTGCCAGCTACGGCATGGCACAATCAATACCCCAAGAGCGAGAGCGAGTGCGAAAGATTGAAGAAAAAAAAACGTTCAACTTTCAATTAATTATGGTTGCTGAATTCATCCGTGAAATGTTTACTCGCTGTTACAGTGAGAGCGAACAAGCGAGAGGGAGTCAAAAATTGTAAGCTTCAGAGAATTTGTTATGCTAAAGTGATTACGCCTCGGCTAATGCATAATAATCGAATGCTCAGTCAGAGAGACACAAAATAAAGGAAAAGAAGCAAAAATGTAACTATTTTTTTTGTCTATTCGGTTACAATGTATGAACGAACATTCAAATTGAACAAAAAGGTCTTCGACATTGTGCACTCCAGTTTTCGATTTAAATGTTTTGCACATTTTACTACGCATAATATGCATATACGTATCGCAAACGCACGTGTTTGAGGCAACATACAATATCTGAAAAGATGAATACTTTTGAAAAAGTCGGTATCAGGGTCATGCGAACTAAACTTCCAACTCTAATGTGAACGCTACCGATTTTTTTTTAGAGAAAACCAAAACTTGAACGACAAAAAATAATACTGTCATGATAGCTTGAATAATGAATTCTACATTAATAGTTGACATTCATTAAATGAGATCATTTAAAATACACTTGATTTATCAAATAAGATATGCATTTTAAGCGATGTATTCGTCTAACTAATTGACCCCACACATTTCAATACAACGAAAAGTTACCTGGTCTCTTCAAAGACGAACGAATTCAGGGCTGTTTGGCCAATGCACAAATTCCTTATTACCGCATATAAACGACAGTTTTTACTTAGTGCTAATTTAAAGGAAAAACAAAAATGACGAAAATTAAAACGAGTCTGACACATACACACGTACACAAAAACCGAGTGTGAATCAAGAGCTGATTTAGCATTCAAGAAGTTAAGCAGCAGGTAATTAATGATGATGTATGGAATATGATTTTCAATTCTTGATATCATTTCAATTCAGAATATATTTTATGCAGTTTTTTTTTCGTTTGAGTTTTCTTCAATGCCTTCTTTTTTTTCATTTTGAGCGACTGCAGAGAAGGCATCGAAACAGTAACAACAACAACAAAACAAAAATAAATTGCAATTTATAATCTAAAAGACACGAATAAAAAAATACCCAACAACACGACAGAAAACGAAGAATTTCATTTATAACTAAGAGGTAGCAGTGCCACAGAATCATATTTGAGCATGAGATGTTCATGGACATAGGTGTTTTGCGTTTTACACTTTGCTTAGGTGTATCTATTTTCACATTCAAAATTCCATTTAAGATGAAGCTGAAATAACGCAATAGCATGCGTGTGTGTTTAAGTCTTGTAAAATTGCTTTGATTCCATTAGCAAAGCATTTACCTCTATTGCTTCTTTTTGCCTCTATCAACCGGTGAATATACTTAATTGGAATGTTGTGAAGAAGAAGAAGTAAAAATAATTTGTTTTGAAGTGTTCGAATTCTATTCATGAGCTTTTTTTTAAATTTGAATCACAAAAAGAGAACAAGAAAAAAACACGGGAGACAAGCAAAATCGATTGGGCTTGTGCAATTCTCAGGCCGTAACTTTTGTGATTTAATGCCATTGAATGAGCTTCGAAATTCTAATTCACCGTAACCACGAACGCAATTCAATGACAATAAAATTAAAGAAAGACAACAACAAAAAGTGTTTGTTAATCAATTTGCATGAATCTTTTCTTAGACTTAGTTTATGTACACTCTTGCGAATTAATTTATCAATCGTGATTGCACCACATGATTTGATTATCTTTGTCTCTTATTATGTGAGCGTTAGCGCGCACGGTGTGACTCGCGGTATGTTTGTTTATTTTGTTTCTTCATTGCGTCGTAAAAGTGATGGAAAAGAATTTGAAATTGAGTGGCGCGCGCGCTCGAGAGAAAGAGAGCGAGAGAGAGAGGTTTGTGTAATTCGGTTTTTTGGCCTGTGGACCTATATTTGTGTCTTTTGTGTTCATTCAGTGTGTGCATAAAATAACAATTAAAATGTGAACGATCACACACAATGACCAAATTGGCTAGAAGCAATTCACGCAATTGCAAGCACAACTGCGCCCGATTGTGCAGTAGTCTGCGCAAACCGTCAGTGTGGTCATTTATCTATCTGTCGATGAGGTTTTGGAATTTGTTTATTATTTCTTTTAAACTACCACTACCGGATCCCAGTCATTGCAAAAGCCAACAAATTGTAATACGTTTTACGGACCATAACACCAAATTAGGCAGTTTAAATAATATCATAATCGTGCATATATATTTCATAATCACCACATAATCCATTCATTCAGTCAGTCAGTTAGTCCGGTAATGTGTTTCAGCCGGTTGAAAAGCAGAAAGACAGCACGCGCTTACATTCGATGTGTTCGCTCCAAGACGAACACATGCGCGCTGCACAGAAGTGAAAATCCAAAGCCAAAATTGAATGTTTGTATGTATCTTATATAATCGGTATTAGCGAATATCAATTTTATCGGTGGAATTGAAACTTGTCTTTCAAATAATAAACGCGTATTTGTCCCGGCCTGGTTGGAAGAAGCCATTGCATTTCACAAACAAAAATATCTGTGATTCACCCAGTAACCCACGCACTGTCATTCTTAACACTGTTAACTGGTTGCGGTATTTTTAGTTTTTCACATTATACGGAATGGCCGAAAATAAAAACAACAATTTTCAACAAAAAAAAAGAACGAAGATGTGCCATTTTATCATCAACATCATCTTTACTACATACACATCCACTCGATTCTTCAGTCAAAAAATTGTATTTTTCACAACTTTATGATAACTTGTGAATAACGAGACAAGAGATGCAATAATAATAACACTTCAATACAAGTGCGCCGCTGGTATTTTTAGTCAATCGCTGTTTAGCTTTTTTTTCGTTGTTTTTTCAGTAATTGTAGGACATTGACGACACCAATTTCCATTTTGTGTGTTTTAATCCATTTGGCCGAATCGGTATTTTTCAATTCAACCCACAGTCCAACAATGCGGCAATATACATTTATAGATGTATGTATGTAAACACAATCTTTCTGTTTATCTGATTGGTAATTATTAAGATTGCCTCATGTGATATGTTTTGTTGAAACAAATAACCTGTACCGTACATTTTATCGCTCTCTGTCTCTGGCCGCTCTCACACGAGATGATGTTGCATGGACGTTTTTCAAGCATTTTTACGACTTAAATCGCCTATAATTGCTCTTGTATAATAGGGTTATCAAGTCATCGTCGGTCGTCGTTGTGAAAAACGAGTGTGTTTTCACTCTTCTGTTCAGGAATAGACAATCAAAAAATCATAAAGCCTATCGTTTATTTTTCGCAAACAATCCGGTAAGTTATTATCTTAATTTTCACATTTATTAAAGCATGGCGAGCGAGAGAGAGAGAGAGAGAGATAAAGGGCCACATCATTTTTGGTCAATTTTATTTTTTTCGATCAAAGTATGTTATGACGATGGAAAATGTATGTTAGTGTGCGCGTGCAAATCCATTCCGGCACAAATGTGTCCGTTCACTTTGTGATTGATTTTCTTGTTTATAACGTAAAAAAGACAAACAAATTACTAAAAAAAGAGTTTTTAGATATGTCTGGAGTTCGATTTAAGACGACGAATAATAATTCGCTGCCAGCTTCAACGTGGTAAAAAAATTGTCTGTTTTTTTTTCGTCGTCGTTGTTAATTTTGTTTTATTGAAAATGTTAACCCACATAAAAGTGTGTGTCGACGTCAAGGTCAATATTTTTTGACGTTTATTCCATATTTGGGCGTGCACTGGCGACGTGATATTAACTGATTTGACTGTGACCACTAGGGTGTTTCCCATACCTGCAAATAAAAAAATGGGTGTTCTCAATTAAAAGAGCGTAAAATTCTGTGCTAAGTGATAGCATTCACAGAACGTATCGATCCAAGAAAAACCATATATATGGTCCAAATAGCAATCGCTCCGTGTACTGTAATTATCATCGAAACTGTTGATATCAGATACTTACAATGGAAAAACACCACTTAATAGGTGCGTCAGGCAAAGCCTACTATACCACAGCTTCAGGCATAGCGGAAAGTAACAAAGTGTTACCGTATAAATTTTTAAATTAATTTTATTAAATGGCTAGCTGATGCTTAATACTGATTGTTTTGAGCTGCAGGCGCTGGTCTCTGTAATGTCTTGGGTATCTCCAGGTCAAACAGCCAAAAATGCCCTGA